CTTGCTCCCTCCTCAATATGATATCCCTTCAAATATTTAAACAGGGCTCTCATATCATCTCTTAACAATCTCTTCTCTAGGCTAAACATATCCAATTCTCTAAGTCGTTCCTCATAGGGCTTGGTTTCCAGACCCTTCACCATTTTAGTTGCCCTCCTTTGGAGGCACTCCAGCTTCTCAGCATCCTTTTTGAATTGTGGTGCCCAGAACTGGACACAGGATTATTCCAGGTGAGGCCTGACCAAAGCAGAATAGAGTGGCACTATAACTTCCCTTGATCTAGAAACTATACTTCTATTGATGCAGCCTAAAATCGCATTGGCCTTTTTAGCTGCCGCACCACACTGTTGACTCATGTTCAACTTGTGGTCTACTAGGACTTCTAGATCCCTTTCACATGTATAAGTCTTGTTAAGTACAGGTGTCTCCCATCCAATATCTATGCATTTCATTTTTCTGCCTCAAGTGCAGTACCTTACATCCAAAGTTAAATCCAAGATGAGTCCTACCTAGAGCAGGCTCACTGAAATGGAGAGGACTTGTTAGTCAGAACAAATGTTAATCCCCAAGGATTGTATTGGGTCCGCTCTTAGTAGGAGTCAAATTGATTTACCCAGTAATAATACTGTAATAATAGCAAGAACATTCATATTAGTAATAACTAGTATTGTTTAAATTCCCAGAGGTATATCGCTGGTTACTGCCAGGTGGAACATCAGCTTTGATCACCCATGCAAATTTTTCTTGCACATAAAACTGGACACCGGAGGTATAATTCCACTGGACATGGGGGCTCTCCTCCAGAGCTCCAAAAACTGGACTTTTTGGACTACAGCTCCCAGAAACCAGAATCCAAAATTACAAGAAAAGAGATTCCACCTAAACATTAGGAACTTTTTGTCGATTATGGGATTTGCTTGGCAAGATTTGTTTAGTGGAGGCTTGCCACAGCCTTCCTCTGAAGAGACCAGGGTTCAGTTCCCAGCTTGGCCATGAAACCCACTGGGTTACCTTGGGCAAGTCGCACTCTCTCAGCCTCAGAGGAAGGCAAAGGCAAACCTCCTCTGAACAAATCTTTCCAAGAAAACCCCAGGATAGGATCACCATAGGTTGGAGATGACTTGAAGAGATGACGCTGGATGGTCACTCTGTGAAGAGATCTCCAAATCTTTTCTCAGAAGATATCACCTCCATCCCAAACTAGAAGAATTAAACTAACAGAAAGCCAACCTGTGGCTTCAAGATACTCATCAGGTATGGCCCGATTTCTTCAACCATTAAATCTCTTGTGCTTTTCGAACACAGATCATCTCAGCTTCTGTCCAGAGATCTGGAAACACGGAAGAGGGCTGTCTCCAAGGAGCTTTTGACCTCAAGGGACCATGGAGGCCAAGAGCTCCCATGTTAGTAGGTGGTGATGGTGACACCACTCTGGGATTTAGCCTTGACCTTCATTTTGGATATTTTTACTAGGAGAACTGTTTGACAGTGGCCTATGGACAGCCTCAGAGGGTGGTGGACTCTCCATCTTTGGAGGCCTTTAAGCAGAGGTTGGATGGACATCTTTTTGGAGTACTCCACTGTGTATTCATGGAGGGCTGGAGGTTGGATGAGTTGATTGTCGGGGATGCTTTGATTGGGAGTTCCTGCATGGCAGGGGGTTGGACTGGATGGCCCTTGGTCTCTTCCAACTCTATGATTCTATGATCCTTGCAGTCCCTTTCTGCTCTAGGTTTCCCTAAGATCTGTCCAGCGTGCTGAATTTCAGCAGAGCTCTCCATGGTGCTGAACCTTTAGCTTCCCAAATAATAGCTTCAGCACCTTGGGTAGAATTTTTAAAAGTTTGGCCCGTGTTTCCCAAACTTGGTCCTCCAGATGTTTTAGACTTCAGCTCCCCAAATTCCTGACTATTGGCCAAGCTGGCTAGGCTTCTGTGGAAAACACTTGGAGGACCAAAGTTTGGGACTGATCTCCAGAGTGGATCCCTTTGCTGGGATTTGCCATGGGAGCCCCTATCCTCCAAAAGGGAGGTGAGATCTCTGCAACCCGTTCACAAGTGTGCATCCTTTCCTTGCCATTCTTCAGGACGATTCCAGATCTCCTTGCCAGGTCTTCAAATGATCTGGAAGCCACCTAGCTCAAGACAATTGGTGATCCCAGTCAGCTAGTCCGAACTTTTCCAATGGACTCTCTTTGGCCTATCTTCCTCAGCCTTGGCTTCCAGCCTCCCTTGTTATAAATGCCTTTTTTGCATTTCATAGCTATATAACCTGCATCCTGTTGTTAGTGATAACTAAAGTAGACCCATGCATTCTATTGCATTGACCAGAGGCAGTGTGGCATAGTGGTTTGGGTGCTGGATTACGACTCTGGAGATTAGAGTTCGATTCTCGGCTCGGCCCTGAAACCCACTGGGTGACCTTGGGCATGTTACATCTTCTCAGCCTCAGGGGAAAGCAATGGCAAACCTCCTCTGAACAAATCGTGCCAAGAAAGCCCCACGATAAGGTTGCATAAGTCAGAAATGACTTGTAGGCACACAACAACAACCACAACAACAACAACAACAACCATTCTACCATTGACTCAGTAGGTCTACTCTATCTGGAAACAACCCATAAGATTCAGGTCCAAATCTGCATGGCTGCTCTATCCCTCTGAAATCCCATCCCTCCCCAGATGTGTTGTACTACAAGTCCCATCAGCCCCGCACAGCACAGCCAATGGTCAGGGGTGAAGAGAGTGGGCAGTCAAGCATATCTGGAGGGTAGTGAGGTGCAGAAGATCTGTCCAGAGGATTGTTCTCAAAACATTGGCCTAAATGGTAATTCCAACTTGAGTCGGTGCACTGAATGAATGGGACGTACATAAAGCCTGACTGACCAAGTTCCCATTGACTGAATGGATCTCCTCTAGCCAAGACAAACAATTGGGTGGAGGCCATCAGCTTTTCAGGGTCTTAGAAAGAAACCTTCCACATCCCCAAATAATGGTTCTGTCCCTAGGAGCAGACCTTGAGATTGTTTTTTTAAAAAAAAACACTATGATTTTGGGCAAGTCACATTCTCTCAGCCTCATGGGAAAGCCTTGGCAAACCTCCTCTGAACAAACCTTGCCAAGAAAACCTTGTGATAGAGTTGCCTTAGGATTGCCGTAACTTGGAAACGACTTGAAGGCACACAATAACAACAACTTCAATAACAACAATTCCCAGAATCTCAGCAAGAGCTGTTTGAAATGGAGATTGTGGTGGAGTCTCCTTCTTTGGAGGTCTTTCAACAGAGG